GCCTCAATTCTTAAAAATCACCAACCAGCTGCATGCAGGAAAGCATTTAGCATCCAGTCCAGGGGTATCTAGTACTGCTTCACATACACAAGGTGCCAAATGAATGAATGTTGGTGGGTCTCTGAGGAAGGAAGTGTATGAGCTAGCCCAAAGAGCTCTCAAGACAGCATCTTAATCAAGGCACATCCTTCAGCATGCTACAGTGGCCTCCATGCCCACTTTAATCCCCGCAACTCTTGTGCAGAATGGAACCTCACTTTAATCATAATAATTCCTAAAGACCAGAGATGAGTGTGACCCCTTCTCACTCCCAAATTAAGGGCTATGACCTGATACACAACATCACCTTCCACCACCTCCAAATGTGTGTATTTCGGCTCCAGAAAAATGAAGAACCAAAGGGCAAGGGTACCTAATTAATGCCACACCTTAAGGACTTGCATCTGGGTGTTTGAAGAGGGAGGGACTTCTAATGGTTAGAACCTGTCACAGTTTCTTGTTAAGAGAAGATATTTGTGGGAGCTGAAAGAAAAGACAGGAAAAATATAGGGAAAGCCTTCTACTCCAATCCCATCCCAGAATATCCTGTCAAACAGAAATCAGACATTCTTCTGCCGCTTGCCTTCAGAATATATTTACTAACTTCCCAGACGCTTTTTAGAAGTATTAGACTCATTATGACAGAGTTGAAATTATTCAGTTAGCCCTCCTATGGAGGGAGCCATTTCAGCCGATTTTCCATTCCCAGAACTTCAATTTTCAATGCTGAACAAAGCTTCGCCAATTTTTTTTATTTTATGCTTTCTTTGAGCCAGCACCAAATGGTAGACATTGTTTCTTTTTAATTGACTCCATCTGCAAGCCATACCATTCCAGAGCCTCTGGAAGGCAATCGAAAACTTTCCAAACCCTGTATTAATTACTTGATTAATTAATGAGCTGAGCGTTGACATCTGGATCTCACACTGGCCTTGATCTAGCAGGCATACCTGCACACAAGAATGTGAGCTATTGTGTTACTCATCTCCGTGTCTCATTTCAATACAGACACGAACTGTCTTTGTTTGGAACTGCAACATTAGCAGGAAAATGGGTTGAGGAACAGGCTCTGCATTTGGCCAGGCTGGCAATCCTAGCTGCAAAGAGCTTATGGCCCAAGCAAAGCAGCAGCCAACAGGCTGGGTGAGTCAAGGACATCTGGCTCTTCCACAAAGAGCAGGCATTGACCAGGCAAGGGGGAGAGAAACCCACCTAACGAATGCAGATGTTTCCAAGCCTCTGCCTTGTTTATGCTGCATTTGTCACTGTGCCTCTGAATGCTGGGTTAGACTGGGGTGAAGAACAATTCTGAGTTACATCTACGTCAACCCTGGATGAGGATTCTTAATCTTCCTTCTTCCAAAAAAGGCTAGTAAGGGGCAGTTTATGAGTGAGGAATATGGGAACATGGGAGGGAAGCACTTTTGGAAGGAGAGTGGAGAAGTGTTCTTTAGCAGTAATGTAACAGCCCTGGCAGGAATAGCTATTGTAAGGAGACATTTGTACCCTTCCCTTTAAACAACACATCCCCAACAACTGGACATTTAATCAGGAATCCCATGCTGAGAAAAGGCTGAATCCTGACATCAGTCAGAGGTGAGCATCCCTCCCAGAGGTGAGCATCCCTCCCAGGAAGGAGCATCCCTCCCAGAGGTGATCATCCCTCCCAGGGAGGAGCATCCCTCCCAGAAGTGAGCATCCCTCCCAGAGGTGAGCATCCCTCCCAGGGAGGAGCATCCCTCCCAGGGGGGAGCATCCCTCCTAGAAGGGAGCATCCCTCCCAGAGATTTCTTATGGTTCCCACAACCTGCCAGACCAGTTTCAGGAGAGAGTGGTTATAGTGGGAAATTACCAATATGGAGGCTACAGCTTCCCCTACAAGTGGTACCATTAACTGTGAGGGTTGTAGCTTTTCCTTTATCTCATGTCAAGACCTAGAAGATGGGCTGGTAGTGTCACTGGACCTCCTTGTTTCCCTTCCCAATGCAGCCACATCGAATACATCTTTCACTTTTTTTTTAAATTTAATTTTATTTCCTTGTGTCTTTAGTTGACCTATTGAGGGCAGGTGGCACAGCCCCACTTGTTAGGGCTGTCAGGGCCCAGGCATTAACCCTAATAGCTATAGTAACATTCGTTTTCATGGTCAGTGATAAAAGGCAAGAATGGAACTAAGACATAAATGGTTGTCTCTATGCCCAAATGTGCCACGTTGTGGCTTGATCTGTAGACTGGGAAACTGTTTCCAAAAGAGCAGTTAAAATTGGGCTGGGAGGGAAGTGATCCTTTGAGGAACAGAGGAAAGATGAGACCAAAAGCATTTTCTATAAAAAAGTATAACAGGCTCTGGGCACACTTCAACCTCACCTTTGCCTTGTGATTTTGTCCTCTGGATGTTTCTATGTTAACAGAAGGTGTAATGCTTTCCTTAAACAAATAAAGAATGAAAATGATTTGGCTGTTGGGTTTTGTTTTTTAATGTATCCTTTAATGAAGACTGTCCACACATGCCATTCACCAGAGTTTCAAACACATCGAGGCATTTCCACCCTCCATTCTGTTTTCAGAACATATTTTTTGTCTGGACCTAGTAATGAGTCTTCCTTGGATGTGTACGGTGCCACCTCATGATGGCTCACCTGGCGTTCCTCAGGCTCAGCAATCCCGACATCTGGGACTGGACCCACAGGATTCTTTGTCTGGGTAGGCGTTTGCTGGATGTTCGGCAGTGGCATCATCCTTGGCCTCTACAGATTAAATGGGAAAATCACACTCCTCTGCAACTATTGTCAAATCTCTCCCTCTTCCTGTAACAGGGACTTAGAAACAACCTTTCTAAAAAGTGCTTACCCCTCGCTTGGACTCACAGGTAGTAAAAAGTGGAGTAGGTATGGTGCTATCTCCCCTCCTCCATTTTGCATCTGCCCTTTATCTTAAAACTGTGGGTGGGCCAGATTCCTGTTTAACTCTGCACGTAGGTACGTTGACCACTCAAACAGTGTCCGAATGCCAGTGATGCTTTCCCTATCTTTTCCCCCTTCAAGGCTGACAGCACATAAAGAGAGCCTAGGACATATAATTTTAGGCGGGGGTCTCAGTATGTAGTCCTAGCTGGCCTTGAACTCACAGAAATCAAAACCCTCGACGACCATACAAATTAACTTTTTACAACGCCCATTTCCAGACTCTCAAGAAGATGCTGCTGCTGCCTTAAACATGCAGTCCCTTTGCATTCCAGGAACAGCAGGGAATAGAACATTCCGTGACAGTAACGATCATCTCATGGGAACCAGATAGTCCCTCAAGCAAAGAGGATGTCCTGGAATCAGCTTTCAGACCAAGTACTGAGATAACGTTCAACCACACCACCTTCAAGCAAGACTACAGACTTCTTGTTACCTGCCTCAGTTCTTCCTGTTTAAACAATGAAGATAGACTTGGGGATGAGCGTCACTTAGCTCCTTTGTCTGTTCTTCCCAGTGTGGGATGCTGACTAAATCTTTCTCTGCCTCACCAGTCTACTGTCTGGTTTTGTTTCTGTTTGCTTTGTTTTGCTGTTGACTGGTTGTTGATCTTGCTTTATATCACAAGCTGGCCTCAAAACTGCAGTGACCCTCCTGCCTCTGCCTCTCAAGTGCTGGAACTGCAGGCATGTGCCACCACAACCAGTTCTATTTACCTCTTTAGTCCATGTACTGGGACGAGTGGCTCAGCTTTGTCTGTTGGGACTCCCAGACTAGGGACTTTTGTCCTGTAACTGGTGATACTCTTATCTCTGAAACATGGGTTCCAGCTTTAAGAAAACCATTAAACATGAAATGTGACCGGTGCCCCTTTGAAAACCAGTATCTTGGTGTCCCAAGGATTGTAATACCTTAAGAGTATTTAAGTAGGTCCTATTGCCTCTACCTAACAGTCATTCCTTCATCCTTTCTACATCCACAGTGGGCAGATCAGTGACCTCAGGAGAGACCATCAGTCATGAGACTCCTATTCCCTCTGCTGGTGGTTGGTGGGAGGCTAGGAAGGGCATTGCCTCATTTAGACAGTAAGACATGAAAGCAAGTAAAATGGGGAGAAACACTCCTGATTAAATAATACAAATAAAATGAGTCTAACAAGAAGTCATGTGCTGTGTGATTCTGCCTTGAATATGTTTATTCTGCTGGGCACTTTGGCTACCATCTAAGAATCATAAAGAGCCTGAGGATGGTAGAGTGGAGGGGACAAAAGAGCTCCCAGCCTTGATAATAATGTGAGTTGCAGAGCCCACTTTGGAATGCTAACTTCCAGAAGGTTCACTAACTGACATAATTCAATACACCTCTATTGCCCAAACCTAAGAGTGGTCTATGGGGCCAAATTCAAGAGCTAAGAATTTCTTTCTTAACATTTTCTTAAAACAAAGTTTGTTTTAAGAAAGACCAACAAAAGGGAAACAAATGACACAGACCATGTGTGGTCTACAAACCAAAAATCTTTACTGTTACTCTTCGTAGAAAATGTTTGCCTGCCTCAGTCGAAATCACTGGTGGGGGCACTGTATTCTGCAGCTCAAGACATTCTTAATATGGTACTAAAAGCTTCATTTTAGTCACAGAAATTAATCTTGGCCATGGTTCAAGTAGACAATTCAAAAACATATTTGTTGTTATTTCAATTTATTATAGAAGGATGCCAAACTAAGACAACAAAAATGTTTTTTAAGTTTTTGACATGCCTTTCTATCCCTCGGAGCTTCAAATAATATTTCTTGACTTTCTAGATCACAATGACAAAGCTTCTTGATGAAATACAATGTATACAATGACTATCCCCAAAGGAGGTCAGATTGCCCTGCCATCTGAACAAGGCGTTTCTTGCATGAGGGGGCCAACTCTAGAAAACTCCACAGAGGACAAGGGTGACACATAAACTCACTGATGTAATAAATGACATCTTCTGTGGAGACAGAACTGGTTCCTGCTGACTCATGCAGAGTGACACTTCCATGAAAAGCCACCAAACCTTCCCCCTCTAACGCCAAGCCCCAAGTTAATGCTTCTGCTTCCCATTGGGCCCAACTGCTCAGTAGTGAAGGGTTTAATTCCTAACAGAAAAGTATGTATTGAGAACACCAGGTCTAGAAAAAGTCCAATTGAGGAAAGCCCAGGAGTGCTATGCAAGAGTCAGAGCACTTGTCAACTGCACCAGATGGTGACTGAGCCATGTGGAGTCAGGGCAGCCTTCCTTGATTCAATCAGTATTCCTTCATCACTATAGTCCAGTCCCCATCTTAGTACCTGTACACAGTAAGGGGTCAATAAGAGCAAGGAAAAACCGAGATGGGGAGGGGCAGGAAGAGAGGGAGAGGGAAAAGAAGGGAGAGAAAGAGGATGAAAGGGAGGGGCTGGGCTGGAAGAGGGAGGGGTGGGGCAGTTCACATTTATACCCAGTACTGGTTGTGTTTCAGTGCTGGGTTGGTTTGTCGGCAAAGCTTGGCCATGTCAGGATCCAGGTTCACCCATGCCTCCCAAGGAGCACATTTCTCTACAGGCTCAGTCCCCAGAGAGGCCACCTGATCATACTGTGGGGACAGGAATACACTGGTGGCAGGGATGCTAGAGCTTCTCATCAGGGGAGTCACAGTGACGGTGGGAATGGCTCCACTCCTTTCTGCTCTACAGCTGGGAAGTGGGGATTCGAGGTTGATCTTGGGCTGGAGAAGAGGGTTAGCCTTTTCTTCCTTTCGCCTCAACAGCCAGACACACAGGGCCACCACAGTCACCATCAGAAGAAGGAACACAGCAGCCAAGGGTAGGATGACCATCAGAGGGTAACTGCTGTCTCTGTGCCCTATAGCTCCCCGAGAAACGACTGTGGTGGCAGCATATGGCCAAATGACCTCGGTGGGTGAGACCTTGACATCCACTTTTGCTTCTTTGGCATTGAGCTGTCCCCAGGAATCTGTCCCCCGCCATTTGCTCTGGCTCAGATTCCCTGGAGTTTCTGTCTGTGTTATAATGGAAGCTGTAAGTTTTTTCTGAGAGAAAACTGAGGCCACGAGGTTCTCTCCAGTGATGAATAAAGGCACATCTGGTGTAAATGTTTGTAAAGGTAAGGGGTCTGGTGGCGCTATGCTAAAGGCCAGATAACCCATTGCTGGCTGTACATGGTCTGCACTGAGCAAGAAGGTAAAGGAGTCATTTAGTGTACCGATACCTGTTAGATTAGCACATGCCTCAAGCACCAGCTGGCCTCGGTCGATGTCTCCCTGGGTGAACCGAGTGATCTCTTCCATCACAGGGCTGTCAACTGCTCTTCGTACAAGCCGCCCATGGATGGGAGGTTGTGTCACTTCAAATGTGGGGTCACTATTTGTCCTGTTAGCTAGCTCAGTTGCATCTAGATCCTCCCTCTGCAGCTGATGGGGCACTCTGTTGGCCACTTTCAGGTTCTGTGTAACCTGCAGTAAGGGCTGCACTCTGATGCCCAGGGTCTGTTCTGTCAAATTGCTCTCTGCTGTAGACAGTGAGAACTGCAGCTGATCCTCTGAGGCTGTGAGATTGGTCATGTGGTAAGAGAGTCTTCCTGCATCCAAATCTTCCTGTCCAAAGCTATTGACCACCTGGTTTTCAATCAGCAAGTGGCCACTTTGGAGGGGTTGTGTTATCCTGTAGATGATCTGAAGGCTCTTCCCATTGGTCACCGCAGAGAGGTGAGCATTGGTGATGGAGACAGTGGTCTGGCCTTGTGGGAGAAGCAGGTCTGTGAGGTTCACAAGAGTGATGGAGATGGGGATGACATCCAGGTGGAAGAGCTTGTAGAGAGGGCGGTGCTCACCATCAGTCACACTAAAATAAAACACTCCAGAGGATGGGCTTCCATCTTGTATGAACCACACCTGAGCATTATTGATATCAGCTTGTGTAAAATGGTGAGCAGTGGCGTTTAGGTCATGAGCCATGGCTAAAAAGCCATTGTTGGGATGACGGATGATCATGTATTGGATTTCATTTGGAGGACTGTCTAGATCATCTACTTTTAGGATTTCAGGTCCTACAACCAAGCAGCTGCCCTGGAGAACTGTCAAACGAAGCCCTCTGGTCTTTAATTCTGGAGGCTGATCATTCACTGGGGTGATGGTAATGTTGAACATCTCTTCTAGAAAGTCAGCCTCTGGCTTGCTGGTGGACTTGCTCTTTGGATTTGGCCAAACAGCGAAGGTAAAATTATCAGCCAATGATTCAGAGTCATCATGAAGATACGTGACTCCAAATGTATTAACTATATGCTGGGAGAAGTAGGGTTTTCCTGTGGTGATGTTTCTTTCTCCAACCAAAATGGTTCCATAGCAAGGAAGAGCCATAACCTGGAACCAGATTTCATGGGAAGAACGCTGAGGTTGGGGCAGCTGAAGTAAGAGGTTGGAAGCATCTAACTTAGATTGGTCAATGAGAACTTTACCTCCCTCCTTGACAGAGGCTCCTATTGACACAGAGAACAAAGAGACATTTAATCAGACATTGCAGATGAAGGTCCTAAAGCTTTCTCTCCCAAGCACACTTCTCAGTCCATTATTCTAAATGCAAAGGTTGCTCAATCACCTGAATTAGCATATGAAAAATAAAACTTAAGCATAAATACATCTCTATGGAAGCCAAACAGAGGTCCCTCAAAAAACTGAAAATAGCCCTACAATATAACCCAGCTATACACTCTTGGGTACATACCCCAAGGACTCTTAGCCTTCCACAGAGATATCTGCACAGCTGTATTTTCTGCTGCATTACTCACAGTAGACAGGCTGTAAGATCAGGCTAGATGCCATTAACAGACCAATGGCAAGGAAAATATGGTACATATATACAGTGGAATCCTACACTGCCATAAAGAAAAAAGGAATCATGACATTTTGGGGAAAATGAATGCAATAGGAGATGATTTTGTTAGGTTAAATAAGTGAAACTCAGAAAGATGAATGTTTTCTCTTACTCGAAGAACCAACTGAGATTTACGTGTGTGTGTGTGTGTGTGTGTGTGTGTGTGTGTGTGTGTGTGTGTTTATGTGCATTTGGAGGTCCTGACAGTACAAAAGGGATCACCTGAAGGGAGATGGGAAGTGGAGAGGATAACATTATACACATGGCAGGACACAGAGGTGAGAAGGAAACTGAGGAAAGAAGGGAAATGGTGGGAGCAGAGGAAGGACACAGGGAGGAAGCAGGGAGGAGAGTGATTGGGAAATGAATGCAAACAACCATTAAGACAACATTTCAGGCAAGCAGGCTTTACAACCCAAACACTCACTTTTAAGATGTCAATTTCCTGACTTACCTATGGCTGAATTTCTCCTGCTATGGAAATAGGCACAGCTTTTAATAATTATTTTCCCAATCATCATTTTCATTTTTATCAACAACTTTCAGACATGGACATGATAAACTCCCATTTGGAGGTAAAGAGATTTTTAAAAGCCAAACTCATTCCTCACCTTTAGGCTCATGCCAGGAAATAGTACGATGGCATGCAGACTAACTACCATCGGCTGTAACCGGGTTCATCTTATTGAAGAGGACGATGTTGTGGCATGGACACAAAGATTATTTATCTTTCTTCTATAATAGGCAAAGCACTGGCTGGCCATAGCTTGGTGGTGTGAGAGCCAAAGTTACATTTTAAGTTTTAATTACTGTGCCTTAGAGACCCATGAAACAAAAAAATGCCTCTGATCTATAAGCCCCTTGCCCAAGAACAGATAGTTCCTGAAATGCTGGAGGTTATTGTTTATGGGAGATAACAAGTCACATGTTTTCACTCCCTTAAACAAGCTGTTTGACCCATCTGCACAGGATGTGCTTTATCACATGTGGACGGGAGGTTGGTTCACAGGCAGGACATATGCTTGCCCTCATTGGACCTGATGGAAAATGCAATGAATTATGGATTTTCCTTCTTAAGCCTTTGTAAAACCTGATTCAGGCCTATTTCCCAGGGCCTTGGGTAGGGACCTGGCCAAAGTCTATCCACCTGGCCAGCACTTAATTAAAGCTTGCTTCAAATTTGGCTTTAAATTGTGGTAGTGGTCTTATTCTCCACTGGTGGGATTAACTGGCAGTACCTGTATTTGCAAGCAGCCGGCTTTGTCGGCCTGACTCGTTCATTTCATATGAAATGGTAATCCGGAAATCCTCAGGGCCCAGTGCTGCGGGAGGAGAGGATGCTGTGAATGTGAAGGAGTCTTCTGAAGCCCATCCTGTATTCTCTAGATCCACATGCTGGTATAGTATCAGACCTTCACTGACCTGGACAGAAGGAAGGACAGTTAGCATCCAGCTTCTGGGATATAAGGATCAAAACACATTCGAACTGGAGGAAACATGCTCTTTTTTAGGGCTTACTGTATTCATGCCCAAATTATCCCATGTATTTGTTTAAAGGAAAAAAAAGACAAAAATATGGTGACTTATTTTTTCACAGCTGGGAGATTTTAATTCAAACTTGATACACTAACCCCTCCTTACTTGACAGACAGTGCCAGCCATTATTGGCTCATATTACGTCTTGTTTTGTAGATGGCCCTGCCTGATTCCTGTCTGACAGACTGTTTGTGATCAAATCCTAGACATCACACAATCTCACCTATAAATATTTCAGTAAGTACTCATACGACATAACTTTCAAAAGCATAACTACTACTACCGGCATTCTACCTCAGAATTAAAAATAACTAATTCCCTGAGGGCTGGAGAGATGGCTCAGCGGTTAAGAGCACTGATTGCTCTTCCAGAGGACCTGGGTATGATTCCCAGCACCCACATGGCAGCTTAGCTTACAACTGTCTGTAACCCCTGTTGCAGTGGATCAGACACCCTCACATACATACACATAGACAAAACACTGACGTGCATAAAATAAGAAAATAAACTAATTCACATTAGCAAATATGCATCCCGTGTCCAAATTTCTCTAACAATCTGGTAAAAAAAAAAAAAATCAAAAACAAAGACAAACAAAAACCCACACATATATACATAGTCATTTGAGTCAAGATCCTTACATGTCCATACCTCACATTTTATATTTCTCATAGGTGTCTTTTCATCTGTAAGTCTGTGTGTGTGTGTGTGTGTGTGTGTGTGTGTGTGTGTGTGTATTGGGAGAAGGCCCAGAAAGAGAGACTGAAACCAGGATTCTATGGGAAGAATAATGAAGTAAACGTGCGAGCACAAGAAGCTTACAGAGGTAAGGAATTTTATCACCAAAAACAAAATAGCCTGAGGAACACCTCTGGGTAACCATGGCTCTCAACTGTGTAGAGTACATATGGACAGACCGCTGAGTACTTGCACTCTGGGATTGGGGAGAGGAGGAAGGTGGGCTTTTATTTCCTATTCATTTAGATTTGTACAGCTATTTTCCATCAGAGTGTCATCAGAAAGCCAATGGTATGGAATCTCAACCAATAAATGAAGCAGGAAAACAGAAATGAGAAAAACTATCACTTGGTAACTAACAGCCATAACAACTCAGGTAAGAACCCTAAAATGGTTTTTAAAACTGTTGCCTAAAGAGTGGTGACAAACAGGATACATAAATGGTTACATAGCATGTCCTTATGGGACACTCACTAGTCATAAGAGAGGATCATTCCCTCAAAGTGGAGAAACTGGAAACCCAGGGAGAGATGATTGGCATGATGAATATGAACAACATTCCCAACCTCGGGGCAAAGTGAACATTAGGCAGGAAGCTCTGAGATGAACCAGCAGATCCCTTGGTTTTCATGCCCAGGATGCACAACTGAATCCATGCCCAGGATGCACTGTAATGGTAACTCTTTCCGACAGTCACCTGAGTTCCACGGCCACCACGTTAGGTTAGGGCCCCCAAATAACACACAGAGATTAATATTAGTTACAATGTTGCTGGCCAATAACTAGGATTTCTTATTTTCTAGCTCAGTCTTTTTTTTTTTTTTTTTTGAGACAGGATTTCTCTGTGTAGCTTTGGAGCCTATCCTGGCACTCACTCTGGAGACCAGGCTGGCCTCGAACTCACAGAGTTCCGCCTGCCTCCCAAGTGCTGGGATTAAAGGCGTGTGCCACCAACGCCCAGCTAGCTCAGTCTTAATTATCAAACAGAACTACTAATCTACATATTTTATAAGGACTTATCGAGGACGCCATCGGCATGTGTCCTCTCTTCCTCAAGAAGCCAATTGATGTAATACAGAATAAGAGAAAAATTGGGGACTGTCATTTGTCTTTTCTCAGCTCTTTCTCTAAAAGTATAAATTCCCTCATAATTATTATTTTCCTTATTGTTGCCTTTCATATAAAAGTTAAAAGTTTCTCTGCTAACATTTATGTTTGAGTTCCCCACAGCCAATGAAGGACTTCCTAACAGCAATCCTTGAACTCTCCGGAAAGAAAATGGGCCAAACCTCAGAGTACACTGGATCCAACTTGAGTCGTTTGAACTGACACTCTGACCAGAGCTTCAGGTACTGACTTCAACCAACACAAGGACTTCAATCAAGATAAGGACTTTAACCTAGACCTTCAATCAAGTATCTCCCACCAAACACGGACTGGATATAATCCACTCAAGACTTTCACTACTCTTAACATTTTCTTCCTACAGGACCCCACGAGGCTATCATCGTCCCATTTCAGCAGGAAGTAACTTGGAGAATACTACATCCCCTTTCCCCACTGTTGTCACTAAGTTAGGGCTAGTTTCCTAGTGTTTAGGGTTGGGCTTGGACATCTCTTTCAGATGACTTTAGGGTTTAGTTGGAATAGATATAGTTAGGATGTGATATAAGTAGATTATTATATCTTCTTGCAATTCACCTTTGATTGTTAATTATAGATAATTTACACTGTTAAGTTTAAATCCTCTTTAGACTAACAGGGGAATTTTAGGGAGAAACCCTGATTAAGAGGTACTGCTGTCCACGTTCCTTGGGTGGCGTGGACAGCAGTGACATCACAAGTGTTTAAGTAGGAGGGAGGTGCACACTCGGGCCCTTTTCTTTCTTTCGCCTGGCTGAGCTCACTAGGAAGCATCTAATGGGTCCCTCCTGCTCCGGTGCAAACCTGGTCACTGGCACCCTTTCGTGAGTACTATTCCTTAATAAACTAGCTGTTATCAATCTATTTCTGACTCCACGTTGTAAACCTCATTAATGCACAACTGAATCCCTGCCCAGGATGCACAACCTGAACCATGCCTAGGATGCCCAAACCTGAATCCCTAGCCAGGATGTATACTCTAAATGAGATCAAAATGAAAAATTAGGTAAAACATCAGATTATAATCAAAATGAGGAACACTCTGCAGAGAACTGTCCTGTACTCTTAAAAGCAAAGTTGGGCTGGCAAAATGGTTAAGGCACTTTGCCACCAAACCTGGTGACCTGAGTTCCATCCCCAGAATCCAAAAGGTGGAATGAGAAAATTAACTCCCACAAGTTGTCCTCTCTGACATCCATCCACACTTGCATCTTGTGATTTGTGTGGATGAGTATATGCACACATATGCACACACATCCTTATAAACATACAAAATAAATAAGTGTCATAAATAATTTTACTGACAATGTCATAAAAGACACTATATTGATAATTAAGAAATGGCTCCAATTAAAGGATATTGAAGACACATGACAACTAAAGGCTATGTTTTATATTGTGCATAATTTCCCCTTAGGATATTTATTGGAACAATATGGGAAAGTTTAATATATGTAAATTGCACATTGACATTGTAACAAATGTCAATTTTATAAATTTGAAAATTATGCTGTGATTATATAAAAACTTGCCTTAATTTTAGAAACATATGCTGAGAAGATATGTGTGTTAAAAGAATAAGTCTTGGTAAATGTTAAAATTTTGGGAATATGGAGGAATAGAACATGTGAACTCTTTATACTTTTTAGTTATTCTATAACTTATTTCAAAATACAAAGTTAAATACACTAAGTAATTCTTATTGTCTTTTCTGCTTTAGGAAGGAAGCAACATTCCCTTTTATGATGACCAACCCAGGCAGGATGAAGGTAGCAACCTACAAAAGCCATGTACACTGAAGACAGGAAGTGGCTGTCATTTCCTGTGCTGATATGCTGGTTCATCCCCACCCTCCCAATTCCCATCTCCATCTCCCTGTGACCCCCAACTTAGTCCTTCTGAGACTTTTATGAATGGGTGTATATACTTCCAAATCTTTCCAGTTGCTTTGTAAGTATTTGTTCAAAACATGTGTTGAGTGAGCAAATAATCTACTTTGAAACGGCTTTATAACATTTAATTGCCAAGTATATATGCTTATAACCTTGCATAGACAGAAACAAGGCAACTCAGGATATTTCTTATGAATGTATGCATTTAACAACACAGAAAATACCTAGCTTTTATTAGAGTTCTACAGATTTCAGGCACTCCACAAGGCTCTTTGTATAATTTATTTAGCTCCAGTTTGTTTCAAGAGGCTTTTTATGTCCATTTGACAGATGAGAAAAAGAAAAAATTGAGGCTCTGAAGGTGTAAATAGCAGTGAATGGGGAAGCCTAGTTTTGTACCAACTTCTATACAACCCCAGAGTCCATACTGTTTCCACAGTCTAAGGGCTAAACTCAAAGTGTGGAACACCAAGATTATAGACTACAAAGAAATTCCTAAGGTATGTTCTGAAATTCCAAGAGCCCAGTAATGGGGAGAGTCAGTTGAAAAGTATGACCAGAACAAACAAATGCCACTTCACTGTCTTGCCTGGCCAATGCAATCAGTATTAACCAGAACTTGCCTTGACTGGCAGTGATTCTGAGGAACAACAGCTCATCCTACGCTTGTGTGTGTCATAAATTATGAATTAAATAAAGGCAGTAATGGGGCTGGGACATGACCCAGTGGGTAAAAGTGCTTGTTCAGCATGTGGACCTGTGCTCAGACCCCCAACAGCCTCATAAAAAGCTGGGAATGATGACATGCATTTGTAACCCCAATGTTGTAGGGACAGAGGCATGCAGATCCCAGATACTGGCCAATTAGTTTAGACAACTGCTGAGCCCAGGTTCAGTGAGAAACCCTGCTTCAAAGGATAAAATGGTGAGCAGTAGAGGAAAACAACTAACTTCCACCTCTGGCCACCACACATGTATGCATTGGTATGTGCATATACAGTCAACATGTGTGCACACATTCATATACCACACACAATAGCACAGAGGCAGTATTCCAATTCTATACTGGTGCCTTTTTTATCATGTGGAAACTCATAAGGCACTAGGAGATAG